GTCATCACATCATCATCATTAGTGCCACTTCTCTGAGCCCTCAGAGCCGCGTCGTAGCACCCAGCGAACTTACACACTTGCTCATTTATTCTGGCCCACCTCTGCTTGCACTGCCCGAGCTCTCTAGGTACCGTACCAGCCAGATACGGGCTTGCGTTGTAATACTTCACTATCCTCTTCCAAAAAGCAACACCCTTTTGCTCATTTCCGACCACTGAATCCTTACTTGTGTTAAGCCAAGCCCCAATGAGGATTTGATCCTCTTTCAAAGACCATTTCTTCCTCTCTTTGGAACTCGACTCAACAACAGGTTCAAAAGGATATTGACTATAAAGTAAGTTAACAAAACCAGTGTTGTTATCCATGGTTTAAGAAAGGTGTGTCGCTCTATTAGCAACAAAGTTCTTTAAGTAAGCAATCAACTTTTTCTTAAAAATTAAAGCAATTAAATTCTGTGCAGTTAGGAAGATAGGAAGCAAATAACTAGCATTTATCATCAATCAAATCCGTTTCTGTAATTAGTACAATTTAACAAGCTAGATACTTCAGAGAACTACTTTGAAACGCGGTAACATTTATCACCTATCAAATCCAAGCAGTTGCAACGGTAGAAAGCAATTCAAATTCATTAAATGAACAATTGCTTTAACTAGACTGGGTGTACCTTGTTAGTTAAGACAGTGTTGCTTTGAGACACTCTCCTTTGAAGCTAGTCCTGAAAAGAAAAGAGAAAAAAATGACAAGAAGATAAATGCATAATATTGGTAAATGTAATAAGAAAATGACATGAAGATAAAATACTCACCACGTAGAAACAACAACACGAAGACTAAGAAAACCAATACACACCACCAGCTTCTGCTCACTCCCATTAGCTTAACTCCTAATTTCCGGTTTGATAACTCAAATAAACTCTTCTCCACCAGCATCAGCTTATGCTCAGTCGAATTGCCTTCCTCCTTAAGCACCCTAAGTTGCCTCTGGAAGTCGCTAATCTCCTCCATGACTGCCACATCCCACCATTTCCAGATGTGGCAGTCTCCATCATCCTCGTTCAAGCACGTGATGTATCTCCTGCCGGGATGTTTACGAGTGGAGGATGTTGCAAGCACAGTGTCACCACCACAGTAGCATAACGTCGGGATTCCTTGATCTGCCTCTGGCTGAGTTGGATACTCAAATGGTTCTGGATTATTGTAGGTGCTCTGACCTTCATCTGCATACAAGTCCGCTTCTTCTTGTAGAAGGGAGGTAATGTCAATCGACTCTGATGATGACGAAGGCTGGCTGTATGAATAATCTTGTCCCATAATTGTTAACCTGCAAGAAATAACAAAAATTAATAACAAATTATTCAAGAAGTAGACCAACAAACACAACAATTCTCTATGATTCAATTAACGAGTAGTTACTTAACTCATATGATTAAGTAAACCAACTTCAGATGATTAAATCACAGAAACATAAAGGTTCAATGCAAAAACAACCTAAAAACCCAAATTGTTGCAGTGCTACGCGAAAAAAGAAAGCTGACTATCAACAAGACAACCTAAAAATTAAACAGAGGCAAGTGCTAGCAAAACGAACTACACCAAACAATGATGCTACGAAAACATAAACGGTAGTAGAAAGATAAATCCCCACCTGCGATGAAAGCATAATCGTTTTCGAACCATTAAATAGAAACTCAAAAATCCCCAATTCCTTTTGAAACCCTAATTTCACACCAGAAATACCCCAAAACGATTAAAGATATATCGATTTGGAACAGACAAGCGCAAACGCAAAAACCCCCAATTTTTGTTTGAACCCTAATTTCTAAGTAGATCGATTTCTAACTAGATATTTGATCGGCTAATCTACATAACAGAGGTGCGATTTACCTTGTTCAACAGTCGGTCTCGAGTCACCCTCTTTCTTAATCGGAATCGCCTTGGTGTCGTGTTAATCGGAATCGCCTTTCTCTCGTCGCAGAGCTTTTTTTTTTTCTTTCCTTCGGTCGAGAATGACCAAAAGTGCTTCCTTTACCAAACCGTAAACATTCTCCCATCGAACCAAAACACGCCACGTACCCTAAGGATCAGGAACGAAAAATCCTTATTCTCGTATCAATCCTTCACTTTATTAACAAAAGAATTATTATTATATCCCCCCTTACATATGTTTAACCGCTAAGGACCCTGCATGTACCCCCATTGCATGTGCTCTTATACTAGTGTAGTCGCCGTGTAGAAACCTCGTATTTGCAAGCCAAAAAAAAGCGAATGTGTGATTTGTAGACGATAAAAGTGGACTCAAACAACTTTATAATATATTACGTATATATTATATATTATATAATATGTACCTTTCGATTGCATTAGCGAGGCTTTCAACTTCACGAAGAGAAGCATATCTGTCACATGTGTCATCAAGAATTATTTGAAGCACGAACATCTTAGTTAGCATAATCCTCAAACGTGAGTGATTTGGCTCTAAGTATGCTAGCGCAACGACGTGCATTTCCACAAATCTGTCTCTGTAGTAAGGTGGTAAGTTAGATTCGAAGTCTTTCTCCTTGTACCATCTGGCATCCACAGAACATGAATATACAATGATGAAAATCAACTTCTTTCAAGGGTTGTATAAAGAAGCTCTAGAGCAGATTTTACTTACTTTGAGAGGCCTTTGAGTTCTTGAAGGTAATGTAGCTGAAGGTATTTGAAGTTAAGCTTGTCAAACATTAGTAGCGTCTTGTCATAGTCTTCTTCTTGTTCGTAGAACCGGATATATTCCATTGCAACTAATATCTCCATGTTCCTATGTTGCGGTTGTCCCAGAGCTTTTTCTATACGCCTGGAGAGATGAGGTTGGCATGTCCCACTTGCAACTAGCGGCTCTAAGTAACTCAATACAAAGCTCAAGGCTTCGTCCAATATATATTCTGTCATTGTTCCCATCTGAGCAGCTTCATACAAGCTTAAGATACCCTTCGTATCCTCCGCAAGACATTCTTTGAAGTTTCCATTTTCCCCTTTGAATCTCTTAAAAACATCTATTATATACACCAAAATGAATCGGTAGGTTTATTAGACCTATAAAACCTAATGGATATGATTATTTCTTTTAAATGTGGGATGTCTTCGGAATCACCTAGCTAGTTATAAAGATTAATCACACAATGACAAAACACTTGTCGTATGCTCTAGATAGAAAATCTTTACCGGGAGAAAGGTTGTGACCATATGATCTGAAAACCCAAAAGATGATGGAAACTGTGTACAAATCATCTTCACCAGACAACATCTCTTCCATCCTTTTAAGTCCCTCTTTAAGATTCTCCTCTATCTCAGCTTCGAAATGATATGCGACACCAAGGCTCATGAGCAAATAGATGAAAAGGATATTCTTCTTGGTTGAATCAACGTCACTGGAAGACAAGAACATGTCCCCCACTTTTGGCTTTAGTGCTTCAATTTCTCTACCAAGCGAATCCATTTCCTTAACAATACATAAATTAGACATGATTTAATATCCTCTATGAATTTAATGATTTCGTATACACGGCGCCTAGCTAGATCGAGGGGACGAAAAAATTATACTACGTATGAACTTTTGTAGGATTATCATTTCTGTTTTTTTTGGTCAAATGATTTCTGTTGTTTTGTTTGCTATGGTAACCAACTAATGATAACCAAAGTGTAGAAGAAAAAGATGAAGCACATAAACTAGAATGAGAAACAAGAAGAAAAAGAAAGAGAAATGGATCAAAATCCATAATGGTAAAGAGTTTTTTTTTGTTCGTTCACTAAAATAGGCACCCTTTTGTTTTTGGTGAAATAGGCACGCTTTTGTTTATTGACTTACAGCGAGATCAACATGGGCATCGATGAATTGATGACCCCACTCTGAAGGCTCCATCTTCTTGAACTTGCGATTATTTTCATCTTCACAAGCCAGAGTGTTAGTAGTGGCTTTCAAAGGAACAAGCTTGGGAGGCTTGCCGGGAAATGACGTTGGCGGGAAACGAAAGGGTTTGCATGACGACAATACATTCGCCTGAGACCGGATAGAGAGTTTAAATCCAAGTTTTGCTCCAAAAACTCTTGTGGATTCCATGTCTCCCACTACTGATATGTGAATCCAGGTTTCACCACAAATTTTATAGGTACAATTTTTTTTTTGTCACATGAATTTCTATTTTTTATTCCTAATAATTTCGAATCTATAAGAGCATCCGCGGTGATAAACTCTTAAGGAATCTCCCATGATAATTAAATGAAAAATAATTGAAAAGTAAGAGAAAGAATAGAGTGGGCTACACCTATTCAAAACCTATTGGTCTAAATATTTTGTGGTACTAAAAATAATTACATACGAAAATTGTTAATTATTTTTAATTTTTAAGAGCTTCACAATTTTCTCACTAATGATGCTTTAAGGTTTTCAAATTTTTATATATTTGAAAATGTGAATCTTTTATTTTTGAGAGGAGTAGATTAAAACTTTGGAAGAAAATATCAATAAAATAAAGATAAAATTATGATATTTTCATCATCACAATCTACGTCGTAGTTGCACCTACGTAGGTGAACATTCTGATACAAACGCAAGTGCAATAACGAATAGAACAGAGTCTATGACAGAGTGTGTGCATACGGATGAACAAGATAAGGACTTGAAGAATGGCTTGGTGATCAAGTTGGAGTTAGTGTAAACAAAGACTTGAAGAATAAGCACAAACAAATTCACCTTAGAGAAGAGAGATCTCGTAAATGGGAAGTTTGCAAAAGACTTAGTATGTATTTTGGGAACTTACCATTTTTGGTTATTTAGTAAATATTGGGTAGATAGGATAGGGTAGCCGACGTGACTATAATGTATATATAGTCTTGTACGACCTAAGTATTAGAGTTGTCACTAGAATTGTATTCTTAGCATAAGAGTGGATTTCATAAGCTTGTAAACAAGTGAAAGCACTAAGGACTAAGAGGAGAAGTTCTAAGATCTTGTATTTGACCTTAGAACGTGTGAGGCTTGAGATTCTGTTTAAAGAGAGACTTGTAAGTTCGATTTAAAAGAATACTAGCAAATACACATATATTTGTAGAGATATTCTCTGGTGAACTTTGTGCTTTACATTTGTGTCATAGTTCTTGCATCTAAAACGGATATTTGATTTTTGATTTTATTTGATTCGAAAAATACGGATATCCGGTTTTCTGGATATCCGGAAAATTTATAGATATTGCAAATATAATATCTCATCCACTTTGTGCAATACAATTAAATCTAACAAAATACTATAAAAATGTATTTTCAAAAAATATCTTTTACATATATACAAAAAAATAGTGAAACTATATGTTCCATAATTTTAAAATTAACTACTTTTTTATAAAACACAAAGTTTTAGAAAATTGTAGTATTGTTGCTGGCGATTGATACCATACTTGTTCACCACAGGTCAGAAGTTTTATAATTATTTTATATATTTTTTTTTAATTTAATACATTTATAAATAATTATTTAAATAAAATTAATAGAAGTATATGCTAAGATAATAATTATATAAAATTATACATTTAAAATGTATATGTAACTGTAGATATATATCTATTTGAACAAAATTTGAAGTGGATCAGATATCCGCATCTAATTTTTTTAGTATTTGTGATATGTTTCATATTTAACAGATATTGACATTAAATATTTGTTATTATTTGAAGACGTACGGATATCTAAATTTTTGGATCAAATAAAAACAACTAACAAATCGGGTTAAATTTACGGATAAAAGTTCAGCTCCTGAAATGATAAGAACGTTTTCAAATATATTTTTTAAAGAATTAATCTGATTATTGGTAGTTGTTGAAGCCTTTTGTAGTGCTTGTGGTCCCACCTAATAAATGAATGTTTCAAACAAGAAATTTTGTAAAGAATTCAGGATTATTGGTAGTTGCTGAAACCTTATAGTGCTTTTTGGTCCCACCTAGGTAATGATTGTTCCAAACGTCTAAATAATCACATTTTGATTGTATAGTTTGTTGCATGATCTTTGCTTGGAAGTTTGAACCCATGGGCACTAGTCTGCTCTTCTATTTTCCAGTGACATCTGTCATGTGATTGTTCCAGAAGAAAATGAAATACACTATTGGTTATAGTATGATCTAGTATGCTCTGATTATGCTTTCATACTAATATACAAACTCTTTTGATTTTGAACTGACTCTATGAATAGTCTATGATTTGAACTCTATAATTTGAGTTTAGTGGTTGTGTTTGGTCTACGTTTTTAATTGGTTGGATGGAAAAAGCAAGCAACAGTTAAAAAAGTCCCAAGGCAAAGACAAACAAAAACATGTTCTTATTTACATCACCTTCGACTTAGAAAAGACAAGGAACTAATGAATTTGATTTAAGATTTGCTTGGATGGAACTGACGACCAGGGATTGAAAAAAGTCTTAAGATAAAGACTGAAAATGGAGACAGGTTCTTTATTTTACGACTACAAAAAGTTTAAAATAAACGACCAACAAGGATGAAATTGAAAGAAGTAGGCTATGAATCAAAGACAGAAACCTCATTTCACCACAAGTCTTAGAAGAATATGATCCTTCTTAATTCACCACAAGACCTTACTTCTTATTTCACTTCGACAAAGATTGACAGTTGCAAGCTGAATATACAGAAATTTAGGGACACGTGTGTATTACTATAATAAATGGTTGATCATATTGCAATTACTATATACGAGGAAATGTTAACCATTTCAGAATCATGAATTTCACCTTGAAGTAGGTCTTGAACAATTGGCAAGTCACACCAACTCGTTGTAGACCTTTACTCTACAGGTTAAAAAGAAAAAGTAAATAAGGAACCAAAAACGAAACTCAACACAAAAGTAAAGATTAACGAAGACATTTTTCCTGAAGAATGATAGATAATGCAGCTTACAGAAAGAACTCCAAAACTTTCATGAGAAGCCGCTTTTTCAATTTCCTCAGGCGAATTCCCTTTTTCCATTAGAGGCCAACTCTATTATCAGCCTGCATTTCCATTTGCGAACTAAACATGCTCTCAGAACTCAAAACTCAGAGACATGAAACTATCTAAGATTTCGGATGAGTGATACAAAAGTGAAAAGACACTCTACCTTTTCCAGCAAAAATTCAAATTTCATAACAAACTCGATATAGAATCTAACATCAGGCATTTTGTGTCACAATATCCTAACTACAGGATAAAGTATATTCTTATGTATTTCCTTGTGTAACTAAGATACTGTAGATATCGATAGACATCAATCTCTGAAATACACACTTGTGATCAATGAAATAATATTCAAAACATTCACACTTTCATTGTGAACACATGCACAAACAGAAAGAGAAGCTTGTCTATTCTACAACAGGTAAAACAGTGAAATGAAATTACACATCAATGGAGCAGAGAGGAACAAGAAAAGCTTACTCGGCAATAGATTCAAAAGCAAGGTATTACAGTTTGATTTATGTAGTTTGATTTATGTCTTGTTGCTTGCAGTTTGTTACAGATTTTATGGGATCCAAGAGAAAAGAAAAGAGATGCATAATCACCTCCTTAGATTTGATTAGTCGGCTTTGCGCTCCTTGGTATGTGTTTTCTTTATAACTGAAACTCTCTTTAATCTTATTGCAACATTTCTTTGAGATTCTTTGTCTGCAGATAAAATACAATGAACCTTTCCCAGTCGCTCCTGATTCTGGTTGTTGTTAAGGTGTCTGATCCTCTTCATTACATTCAAAGGTTTTGTGTTTCAGGACTCTTCAGGAGTTCCCAGTGGTTTCACTTAACTTTTATGTTTTGTTCTGAATGTAGGTTTGTCTGTACAACCTCTCAAATTCTTGATGGAGAAGATGTCGCTTCAAAATATCCATAGTATCCTAGCAGATGAACTGCAGCCTTAGTCCAAAGATTTTTTCACAGAAAAAGAAGCACTAATTGAACAAAACAAATTCTTGATGAAGACAAGAAAGAGGTAATATCCATCTATCTTTAACTAGTTTTTTTATGCGTTCAAGCTTTCATGAGTACTAACAATATTTATACTTTCATGACTTGGCAGAGTGATGCGATGAACACTTCCCTTCAATTAGCTAGCTTCCCCTGAGAAAAAATAGGCTGACGTGATTGTTTTGAGACAATGTACAACAAGGTACATTCCTTAGCACACAACTCAAACTTTATAATTAACCCCAAAAACAGGGAAAGAGGCTGCCTCAGTTGCGTTTTGAGTTTGAAATTTGCTTCTTATTAAACCCAGATGCAGAAAGAGGAGAGGCTTTGAACAAAATTCTTCTGCTTCAGATGAAGCTAGTAGATACAACGCTTGAAATGGGAGATTCAAGTGACGAAGCATGTGGTGGGCGATTATGATGAGACGGTCAAGAAGAAAACTTAATAAGATGAATGATTAGGAGTGAGAATATGAGTGTGACAAAAGAACGTATCTCAAAAGTAATGATGCCAAGCTGCGCAAAAATAACTTATCGCGGTACATATCTGTAGTGCCCTTAGTGTTACACTTGCATTTTATAACAAAAAGTTTTATGAAGAACTTTTACCATTTTTTAATCAGTGACTTTGGTCATGCTTTCATATTCGCTTCTTTCCTTTAAGTTTGATTGATGTCTTCTTCCTTGCAGTTTGTTACAGATTTGATGGGATCCAACGTAAGAATAGAGACTAATGGAACGAAACGACAAGATTAGCAGTTGTGGTCGGCTTTGCACTCCTTGGTGTGTGTTTTCTTTATAACTGATACTCTCTTTTATCCTTATTGCAACAATTCTATAGAAATTTGTGATGAGATAAAACAGCCCTTTTTGCGCAGATCCATACTTCACTACATCAAAGCTTTGTGTTTTAGATTTCAGGAATGACCAAATGGTTTCATTCAGCTTTATGTTTTATTCTGAATGTAGGTTTGTCCATACGTGTTCTGAACCTTTGCAATCTTTATTCCGTAGGCAATCTCTCAAATTCTTGATGAAGCAGTTGTCGCTTCAAAGTGAGAAGCTTAGCGATGAACTGCAGCCTTGGTCCAAAGAGTTTTACAGGAAAAGGAAGCAGTAAG